TCAGCACACAGCCCCTCTCCCTCTCTGTGTCTGAAGTCCCCAACTGCTCTATCTCTCCACATCATCATCTCTGCCTCCATTTCAGGCATCACTGCTTCTCTGGGTAGGGTCCCGCTCTCCGCTTTTCTCCCTTAATGGTCCCAGGGACCTCTGCTCCTGGACTGCAAAGTCAACCCCTCCCCTTCTTTTGCTACAAAATGTCTATCTTTACATTTCCAACCCTCACAGTCAGTACTGATAACAATTATTAACTATTGTACCACAAGAAACCTATCTGCATCTCCTTTCATCAGCCCCGCCTAGACAGATTGGATACTACTCAGTGGAGATCCTACCTTCCTCCGTGCCTTCTGGTTCTAGGCTCCCTCTTGAAAGCTTGTAAGCCAGTCACTTCCTGCCGTTGTTGTTGTTGTTGTTATGTGCCATGGAGTTGCTTCCGACTTGTAGCAACCCTGTACATGGTTTCCGAGGCTGTAAATCTTTACGGGAGCAGAAAGCCTCATCTTTCTTCCACGGAACAGGTGGTAGTTTCGAACTGCTAACCTTGAGGTTCACAGCCGATTCGTAACCACTACGCTACCCAGGCTCCTAGTTGTTGTTGTTGTGAAGTGTGTAGGGTTTCCGAGGAGCAGCTGATAAGCTTAAACTGCCGACCTTGCAGTTCAAACGGCTTTTCTGGCGCATTAACCCCCTGCACTACACCAGGACTCCAGGGCTCCTACTAGTAGGTGTTAATCCTGGGAAGTGAGAGGGCCTCCTACTTTGTTCTTCTTTTTTCACAATGCTTTGCTTATCTGGGATCTCTGTCCTTTCCACATAAAGTTGCTGTTGCTGCTGTTAAGTGCCGTTTCCAGCTCCTAGTGAACCTGTGTAGGGTTCCTAAGGATCTGCTGGTGAGTCTGAACCACCAACCTTGTGCTTAGACCAACCTTCAGTCCAGTTCTTTACCCGACAGTGCCACACCAGAACTAGTTTACCATCTCTTTAAAGAATGATGTTGGAATCTGGATTGGTATTGAATTATATCTATAGACTATCGCCTTGGGTAGTGTTGACATTTTCACAATGTTAAGTCTTCCAATCCATGAGTGTGGTATAGTCCTCCACTTTTATAAGTCTATTTAAAGAAATCTTTTGCAACAGATTTGCCTAATGCAATACATCATTTGATTTCTTGACTTCTTCTTCCGTGAGTTTTGACTATTGAGTCAAGTAAAATGAATTCTTTGACAACTTCAGTGTTTTCTTCATATATCATGATGTTATTAATTGGTCCACTTGTGTAATCCTTTTCTTTATTTTGAGGTGTAATCCATACTTGAGGCTGAGGTATTTGATCTTTATCAGTAAGTGCTAAAAGTCCTCTTCACTTTCAGCAGAGTTGTATGATCTGCACATAGTGGGTTATTACTGAGTCTTCCTCCAGTGCTGATACCCCATTCTTTTCCTATAGTCTAGCTTTCAGATGATTTGCTCAGCATACAGATTGAATAAGTATGGTGAAAAAATCCAGCCCTGACAGACACTTTTCCTGATTATAAACCACGCCATATCCCTGTGCTCTGTTTGAGCAACTGTCTCTTACTCTGGGTAGAGTTTCTGCATGAGCACAATGAAGTGTTCTTCAGTTACCATTCTTCACAGTGTTATCTGTAAGTTGTTATGATCCACACAGTCCAGTGCCTTTGCACAGTCCATAAAATACTGGCAAACATCTTCCCTGCTTTCAGCCATGATCCATCTGGTATCAGCAGTGGTAGTCCTCATTCCTTGATGTCTTCTGAATCCAACTTGAATTTCTAGAAGGTCCCTGTCAGTGTACTTCTACAACTGAATTTGACTTATCCTCAGCAAAATTTCATTTGTGTGTAAAGAACCAACAGAGCTGTGTTGGAAGAAATGCAGTCAGAGTGCTCCCTGGAGGCCAAGATGGCCAAACTTCCTCTCTCATACTTTGGACATATTGTCAGGAAGGAGCAGTCGCTGGAGAAGGATATCATGTTTGATAAGGTGGAGGGTCAGAGAAAAAGAGGAAGACCCCCAACAAGATGGATTGGCCAAGTGGCAGCATCGATAGACTCAAGTGTAGCAACAGTAGTGAGATTGGCCCAGGATCGGGCAAGTGTTTCCTTCTGCTGTGCATAAGGTCGCTGTGAGTTGGCACCGACTCGATGGCACCTAACAACAACAACAACCAATACTAAATAATTTAATTCAGTTATTTCTGCATTCTGTTTGATAAACTTTCTTCAGACTGGGCATGAATATGAATCATTGGTTGGCCATATAGTTGTCTTCCAAAGTACAGATCTTTTCATTCCAAAATCTCTGCTATCTCTGAATCCGATGCTTGCTTTATCTATTCATTCTATGGCAAATACAGCCTGTCTTTTATCTTTCTCAGGTTTAATAGCTCAGCTTCCTTTCACCTTGTGCTTCATGTTTTGGTGTGTGTTCCTATTGGTCTTATGCAAGGAGGTGAATTTGATTTTCCACAAAGAATAATGATCTAAATGTGGAAATAGGTCTTTCATTCATACAGGATTTCTTTCTCTTCCTTCTGCTGTTTCGTGAACTACAAACATAAAGGGGATTAAAACTTGACTGGCCAGAGTCAAACTGTGAATACAGTAGTTCAGTGTTTTAGAAATATTAAATCTATGATGTAAGATGCCAACAGTGGGATGGTAAATGTAGTCAGTGAAGGTGGGACACAGCCGCCAGAGTCTACATTATAATATAGAACTTACTGTGACCGCCTGAGGAATTCTCAGCTCCTCGGTTCTATCAGCATCGCCCATCCTTTTGCACACACACTGGGAACCATGGCACTTTACTGATCCAGAATGTGTGTGATGTTTCAGGACTCAGTGATTTTTGAGGATGTGGCTGTGGAGTTCACCCAGGAAGAGTGGGCTTTGCTGGATTTTTCTCAGAGGAAACTCTACAGAGATGTGATGATAGAAACCTTCAGGAACCTGGACTCAGGTAAAGAGGGCTTTGTTTTTCTGTTTTTCTTCTCTAGTGAGTAAATATATTGTGTTTATCAACCTTCTTATGGGTAAAGGAATTGGAATACATTGGCAAATGGCCTCATAGGGCTTAGACGCTAATGAATTCTCCTTGAAAGAAATAATCTATGTATTAAATTAGTTATGTGTTTGTTTTGTTATTAAAAACATTGGCTTTATGTATCACTTTGTGGTCAAAGAGAGATTTGCGGTTTGAGACCCTGTTTAGTGTTGTAATATGTGTGTTACAAATTGGATGTGATTGTTTTGCTAAAAATAAGTCACTTTCTATCACGTGTATCATGGAGACCAAAGTTTTGTCTTAGCGTCAAGGAAGTGTGCTTGTCTATCTTCTCTTATAAACTGTCTTTCCTCGGGAGCACCATGTCAACCAAACTAATACTTCTCCCTGAGGAGGGAAAGTTGTGAGGAGAGGACAGTCAGGATGGAAGACAAGAATTCTCTAAAGGACCAGCCCAGCTGGAATGAAATTGCATTTAAAGAAATCATATTCTTTGGAGGTGATACTTACACACATTCCTGGGCTGACTTTAATTTTCCATCAATCCTTTCATGCCCTTTGTCTTTCTAGGAAATGACCAGCTCCATTTCCTCTTGTAATATTAACTTTACACACATGCATTATTTGCAAGACCTTTTTATTTCGCTTGCCTAATTACACTCAGCTTAAGGCACTGTAAGGACCCCGGTGGCACAGCTTAAGTGCTTGGCTGCTAACTGAAAGGTCGATGATTTCAAGCCACCAGCTTTGACCCTGTGCTTTTGTAAAGATGTAGCAGTGTGGCAATGCTGGGGCCGTTCTGCCCGCCCTGCAGGCTCAGTCCGAGTTGGAATTGACTTGGTGGCAGAGACTTTGGTTTTCTTTATGCCGCCGTTACTCTCAGTTGCCATGGAATTGTTTCTTGGTGATGTTTTTTACTTTTTGACCATTGTCAAGGTTCTGTACTAACTAAATAGTTCAAAGTTAGTCTTCTTCATATGTGCTGTATTCTTCATAAAACTTCCTTATTGTTTTGTTTCATCTTGTGAAACGCTTAAAATTATTGGGTCAGTTTTTAAACAGGATAGTGATGGACAAGCATTTTCCTTGAAGAATGACTGCAGGTCTTCCGGGTTAGGAGAAATGTTTGCAGTCTGTGGCAGTGACTGTCATCAAACCGACCAGGGAAGGCATGGAAGGTGAGTGTTGGTTACAGAGCAGTGACCACTGCCTCAGGACACTCTCAAGGTGTCCCGCCCTTGTGTGTGTGTGTGTAAAAGTAGGTCTAAAATAGTGGATTCATTGTCTTTTCACAAAACTGGGTTTCCATAAATGTGACTCCGTCTATGGAAGTTGTATGAATACCTTTATGTACATGAGAGAGAAAAGCAAGACGATCGCCAAGCTGGCCCAGGATTTGTGCCTACTCAGAGTGCACTCATTGTCCAACCAGCCGATTCCTGTGTACCACTGGCTGCCTGCCTTTTCTTTCCTTGCCTCCCCCTTCACACACACACACATACACACACACACACCGTGAAGATGGGCATAACTCTTCTAGCTCTGCCCACCTCCTTCCATGTCATCCTTTTCCCCCTAGGATGCTTTTCCTGCTCCGATTCCCACCACTGCCATAGCCTGGACCAATTGACAGTCACCTCCATGTAAAGAGCCATGGCCACAGGGTGTAGCACAAAGGGTGCACTGGCCTAATGACACAGCAGACTTAGGGGGCCTCATCTTCAGTGGCTCTGGCAGCGTCTTTGCAGTCCTTGCCTAAGACAAGTGTAATGGTACAGGCAGCCACAGATGGGTGCAGGGATCCCTAGCCACCCCAAGGACAGAATGGAGTAGGGACCAGGAAAGCTACTGAGACATACATAAGATCTACATTGTTGTTAGGTGCTGTTGCTTCAGTTCCTACTCATAGCAACCGTATGCACAAGAAAATGAAATACTCCCCAGGTCCGCCCATCCTCACAGTTGTTACGTTTGAGCCCACTGCTCCTGCCATTGGGTCAGTCCATCTCGTTGGGAGTCTTTCTTGTTTTCGATGACCCTTCACTTTACCAAGCATGCTCTCCTTCTCCAGGGACTAGTCCCTCCTGATACAGGTTCAGAGTATGAGAGATGAGGTCTCTCCATCCTGGCTTCTAAGGAGCATTCTGGTCAAATTTCTAACACAGATTTATTTGTTCTTCTGGCAGTCCATGGTACTTTTAATATTCTTTTTCAGCACCTTAATTCAAATGCATCAATTCTTCTACAGCCTTGGCTTAGTCATTGTCCAACTTGCACACACATATGAGTCAATTAAAACTACCATGGATTGGGTCAGTTGTACTTTAGTCCTCAAACTGATCTCTTTAATCTTTAACACTTGAAAAAGGTCTTGTGCAGCAAGACCTATGGTACTTACCAAAGTAAGTCTGTTTACTCTGTTCTGCAATCAGTATTTCTGGACTCTGTTACAACCTTGCAGAATTACAGATGTATATAAGGTCAGGCGCTGGTAGCATAGTGGTTATGAATCGGGCTGCTAAACTCAAGGTCAGCAGTTCAAAACTACCAGCTGTTCCACGGGAGAAAGATGAGGCTTTCTGCTCCCGTAAAGATTTCCAGCCTCAGAAACCCTGTACAGGGTTGTTATGAGTCGAAACTGACTCCACGACACATAACAACAACAACAACAACATAAGGTCAGGCATTACTCAAATGGATACTATGTGGTATATGCTTGTATTTGAAACATATTTTACTTATATCTGATTATCGGCAAGCTTCGTTATTTAGAAACACTGTGAATGTAATGTAATGTAATACAATCATCTGTGAGATGATTCAGCCTTTGCAACACAAGACAAATGAGGGGAGAAAACATACATTCACTGGGTGTAGTAATTGTGATATGATAACAAGTTTAATTGAACAACATACTTCCTATTTTTAACAGAGTACCTACAGTAGAAAACCTCTATGAAACAAAAGTTGGTAAAGCAAGTAAACATGAAGAAGGAAACCAGTGTGGAAAAACTTTGAACTGGATTGGAGATCTTGCTAGTCTCAAAACAACGGCCGGAGTCAATCTTTTTGAATACCTTGAGTATGGAAACACCTTTGTGGATCATTCATCATCTAACCATCACATCAGATCTCACACTGGATGCAATCCTTATATTTGTAAGGACTGTGGAGAAGACTGCCATTGTCCTTCTTACCTAAAGCTTTGTGTGAGAGAGAAAGTTTGTAAATGTAAGGATTATGGGAAACCTTGTCATTGTTCCTTACCTGTCACTAAACATATTAGAAATCACAATGGAGAGAGGCCTTATGAATGTAAGGAGTGTGGGAAAGCTTACAGTTATCTCTCAAGCCTCACTCGACATATAAAAACTCACAGTGGAGAGAGGCTTTTTGAATGTAAGAAATGTGAGAAAGCCTTTAGTCGTTCCTCATCCCTTGCAGCTCATATAAGAACTCACAGTGGAGAGAGGCCTTACGAGTGTAAGGAGTGTGGGAAAGCCTTCAGTTGTTCCTCCTCCCTCACGACTCATATGCGAACTCACAGTGGAGAGAAGCCTTATGAATGTATGGAATGTGGGAAAGCCTTTAGTTGTTCCTCATCACTTACTACACATAAAAGATCTCACAGTGGAGAGAGGCCTTATGAATGTAAGGAATGTGGGAAAGCCTTTAGTCGGTCCTCACACCTCACTGCCCATATAAGAACACACAGTAAAGAGAGGCCTTATGAGTGTAAAGAATGTGGAAAAGCCTTTAGTCGGCCCGCACACCTCACTAGCCATATAAGAACTCATAGTGAAGAGAGGCCTTATGAATGTAAGGAATGTGGAAAAGCCTTTAAACAGTTTGTACAGCTCACTAGACATGTACGAGTTCACAGTGCAGAGAAGCCTTATGAATGTATGGAATGTGGCAAATCCTTCAGTCAGTTTTCATATCTCACTGGTCATATAAGAACTCACAATGGATACAGGCCTTATGAATGCAAAGAATGTGGGAAAACCTTTACTCGATCCTCACACCTCACTACTCATAGGAGGATGCACAGCGGAGAGAAGCCTTATCAATGTAAGGAATGTGGGAAAGCCTTTTTTCGATCCTCACACCTCACTGACCATCTAAGATCCCACAGTGGAGAGAAACCCTATCAATGTAAGGAATGTGAGAAACCTTTTAGTTGTTTCTCATCCTTCCGTAAACATGTAAGAACTTACCATGGGGACAGGCCTTGTGATAGTAAGAAATGTGCGAAAGCCTTTAGTCAGTTCTCATCCCTCACTGACCGTATAACCTTTCACAGTGAATTGCTATCATACGACCCTCCTAACTATAGCCTTGTAACGCCCACAAAATGATTGGGTGGGACTACGCAAATAAAGTACATGGAGCCCTTGTAGGGTGTTTGTTTTGCCATCCTACTAGGTCTGAAAGAAAGCTAATCCCAGAAAGGGGTAGGGCAACCTCACTACCATCCAGATAGAGGCAGGAATGAAGCACTTCCTTTGGACCGGAGGCCCCTGCGCTGAGAACCGCCTAGACTTCGGAGACAGACCATAACACTGAGGAGGAACAGTGTGAGATGGTAAGTAGCAATGGCAAGCACACCATAGAAACGAGTGGCAGCACAAACCACAGACAGGCTCAAGATGGTACAATCGGCTGTTTTAGAATGAGGCAGCTGCCGTAGGCTTGCCAATCCACAGTGTTCAGCGTTCCGCACCTCCTCCTAGCAGGAGGCGTCCTGGTAGAGAGGTAGCACTGGGTAACTGTTGACGTGACCAAAGAGCTATAACACCTGCTGAAACAGAGCCGAGGCTGGAGCAGAGGCCCACCCAGAGCAGGGTCCAGAAGTAGCAAGGCCTGGAGGCAGAAACTAAGGAGAGGCTGTATTGATTGAAGAATTGTATCCTGAATTCTTGTCTCCATGTTAACCCTGATTCTGAATTGTAACCTGTTACTTCCTTAATAAACCCTATCAATCATGAGTTTTTTATATGGCATTGCAACAAATTATCGTGCTCAGCAGAGAAGTAAAGTACCATGGGAGAGATGGCTGTTGTTAGAAATGATCAAAAATTTTTTGCATGGTAGATGTATACTTTATCTCCATTTCATACGAATCATCTTGGGGCTTTGGTTGGCTCATTAGAGTGATTTGATTTTCACCTGAAGTTGGAAGAGGGCTTTTGATGCGATGCCATTTTTACAAAAGCTTTATAAATAATATGGAATGTGGGAAATCCTTTAGTAGGTTCTCGTCCATCAATAAAGATGTAAGAATTCACTGGGAAAGAGCCTTGTATATGTTAAGAATTAGGTAAATTCTTCAGGTCTCTCTGAGCTTTTTGAAGACATAGAAGGTACATAGGGAAGAAACAACATACATGAAAGTGATGTTGGAAGCCTTTTGGTAATCCCTCAACTTTTAAAAAACCTGAAAGAAAACACGTGGGAGAGAAATCATGTAGTGTAAGAAATGATCTGTGGAAGAGTTTCTGCTTTTCCAGTGTTACTTTGTAAGATGTGAAGATTCATGCATATGGGAACCTTCACTTAACTAATTACCTCTTTGTGAGGAAATATACTTCTGAAAAACCACATGTGTGTAAGAATATGAAAATATCTGCAAATCTTTTGGAATACATAGAAAATAGGAAAAATGTTATACTGTGAATTCATCCTGTAGATGTAAAATATGAGGGAATTCTTCAATGTTCCTTCTCATTTCAGGGTCCCTGTGTAAACCAAGTTACTTTTCAATTGTAGCACATGACTTCGATAATTCTTTAATATATAAATTATCTCTATTAAAAGATCTCACCAACTCATTCGTATCTTGGTTTGTTTTCTTTTGTCAATTTTGAAAGTGTTCATACTTTGACATTATAAGGTGATAATGTTCTCATTGTAGAAAATATGATTCTAAGGGACGTTAGAAGGAAAAGTGAAACATCTTTCAGAACCCTACCACTCCTGATATGGGGATTTCCACTTAGCCTTCCATTCTTCAGTGTTACCCATAAGTTATAATTCACACAAATGTCTGCACACAGTCAATAAAATACAGTTAACGTCTTTTTGGCATTCTGTTTTCAGCCAACATCCATCAGATAAGAGGAGTAATATCCCTTCTTCCATACTTTCTTACTCTGTCTTGAATTTCTGACAATCTCCTCTCAGTGTACTATTGCAGCCATTTTTTTAGTTATCTTCAAAATTTTACTTGCATGTGATATTAATGATTGTGTACATGCCTATAAAACTTTATGGGCGTGGAAATTTGAATTTTATATTTTCATGTGTTATAAAATAGTTGTCTGTTTTTAACCACTTAAAAAGTAAAGACAGCTGGGAGCAGCTAGAAGAACAGAAGATACTTCTTGAAAGAAAGACGAAGAAAGACTGACAGGAAAAATACAAAACAGTATAGGCAGTCCGACTGACTACTACAAGGACAAGCAAGTTGCTCGCCCAGGAAACATCAAGGCAAGTGGTCGGGTCCCCTCAAGGCAAACTCCCTTCCAAGTCTAAGACTCAATGGGAATACACGAGCAGATATGCGCTCTGACTGGTGACG